CCAGTGTACATGTTCTGGTCTAGCCAGATTTGTAAGATAAAACTGGGGTCATGGTGGGGGGTGGGGAGGAAGCATTAAAGAACTAGAGAAAGGCTGTGTGTTTCGTTAGTGCTATACTGCACCCTGACTGGCCCTTCTCTCCTTGTGGCTGATTTCTATACAGTTTTAACATGTATGTATACATAAGAATGCCAATGTGTGTAAATACATGGCCATATACATATACACACATAAAATACTATATAGTTGTTAAAAATAACCGTGTACTGATATAGTTTCCAAAAATAGTATTAAGTATAAAACACTAATTTAGAAATGTCAAGTATAACTTGATTCTATTTGTTTTTTCTCTTTTCTCTCTTGTGTGTGTTTAAGAATTCATACATAAATACTCAAAGTTGTTAAACCATGTTACTTATGAACACAGGAATAGTATACTTCATTGTAACTGAGATTTTAATTCCTGGAAAAACAAATTAAAAACTTTAGCCTGTTTCTTCCATTTCCAGAGAAGGGACATGATGACATGGCTGTAGTCTGTTTCCACAGTGTGTAAATAAGTACAATTGTAAAGAAATGGTGTGAGAGTTTTAAAAGTCGAATTACACCCTCATCATAGGTGAAGACCACAAGGTGTAGTTTTGTCCATCCTCAGTTTGCGGCAGAATTAGAATAGAAACTCATCCTGTCTTACAGGCTTTGTTAGTCTGTGTTTCTGTCCATGATTAATTCCAGTCTCTCCTGTCTGCCATGCACTAGTCACTGCGGTAGGAGTGCAGTGTGGGGCGTGGACTGTTCCCTGGGGGCACGTGTAGATAAGCTGAAGATCCCTGCTGGGGAAGAGTGAATCTGGACAGGCCCCTGGATCCACAGCCGAACTAAGGCTTCATCCTAGGATCCCCTCCTCAAAGATTCTGTCACTACAATTTTAAAACTCAAGGAGACACCTATTTCCCTTTCTTCAGACACAGCCCTAGAACATACCATGAGAATGTTCTGCTACATATTTGTAAAGCATTAGGTACATCACATGCTGGTTACAGAATACCGGGTGATATAAACATGATGGCTCACATGAAACTTACCTTCTGTGGCAGTTAGATTTCATGTCAACTTGAACCTGTGTGAAAGTATAGGGGTGGAATCCAACCTACCAAAGGATGCTTCCTTGGGTTGTGGCCTTTTTCTAAGAAAGACCTTGGGCATCTCTCTCTGGCCCTTCACACTCTGCTTACGGGGCTCTCGTGTCTGCCTCCAGGGCCAGCCCCAGGTGGACTGCCAACCCTGGGAGCTATCAGAGCTCTGCCATGGTGCCACTAACTGTGAATCCATGGGACTCTGCACCCACCAGCCTGCCATCTACCTGCTCCCTGCTTCACTTTTCTGCACCATAGGCCAGAAGCTACATGAGTCTGAAGAGGGAGCTGGCTAGCATCGAACCCGTGGACTTGAGCTGGACTGGGCTGGGATGCCTTTTTGATATAAAAATGACTTCTTCATATAAACTTCTTATACATAAGAGTTTTGTTTCTTAGACAACCCAGCCTAATACTCCTTCTTTCTGACTCACCCTGGGCTTTCGAGTCGCATAAAGAGTTAGTCTCGCAGGCTCGCAGGGGCAGTTTCACTCTGTCCCATAGGGTCGCTATGAGTTGGGATTGACTTGAAGGCAGTGAGTTGAGCTGATCACTAAGCTAAAAGAACCTAGACTTTAGTGGCCACACATACCAAAGACCATAAAACTTATAAAAATAGTTCAAATAAGTCATTAATAAGGCAAGAAATCAAATAATAAGCATAGCATTACGTTAATAACTAATAAATTACACAGAGGGCAAAACAGAAAGAATATAACAAGGTACATGAGATCAAGAGAGTGACCAATGACGTTTTCATTCATCGAATCCGATTTTTAAGCTGAAAATTTTAATTCCATGTCAAAATCCTAGTCGTGATTTTCCCCCGTATTGGTGTCCAAGCGGTGTCACGTCTACGGCGAGCTTTCCGAATACGTACCAATTCCTTTGATCAGGTGACAGCTCAGAAGGTCTATAGATTCTACTTCTCGGGAGGCCTTCAGTCGGTTTCTGTTAAAACAAAATAGAAAGTAAGAACTATCTATTGTTTATATATCCCTGTCTTCTTTCAGAAAGCCCTTGAGGAGGCTTATGGCAATACATAACATGCAGCATAAATCTTAAGCTGATGAAAGAAACCAGAAAAACAAGGGCAGGAACATAAAACAGCACATAAAATCAAGTTAACACAAAAAGGCACATCACACAGTTCTATAGAGAGATGTGGGCGGCCAAAGAAAGCCAATAACTCGGCAAATGAAACTTGCAATGCAAATTCCTCTGCAAATATAAACATGACACCAAGTCGTAATTCTCCCAGCTCTCGTGTTCGGGAAGAGAGTGAGAGGCAGGATCAGAAACCCTGTTTTCATTGTGAGCCCATAAAAAATCCAAACAGCACTCCGATCCTCTGCAGAATGACCACGTGAGCAGCCACAGTGAGCGAAAGGGACCCGGCCTTTCTGGGGACCTGGGAGGAACCCCCATCATGTGTCAAGACACAAAGGCACCACCCCATGACAACATATGACTGTGGTTGAAAAGTATCATTCAAAGTCACCTGCACCTTTATTGGACAGAAAATATGACAAAGTGAAGCTACCGCTTCTGGATACAGCCTCGTCATCTAAGTCTGTGCACAGCAGAAAGC